GTCAATCACAGGGAATAAAAAAATATTTATCAACTACTTATTGGAAAGTAAGAAAGGGCTTTCGTTTTACTTTTCATTTTTTCTTGACCTTTGGTTCGTTGTCTTCTTTTGCTTGAAAATGAATCAATTGTGTCAATCAAAATTAATTTCTATTAGCACTATTTAACGCTCTGGAAATACTCGTAGTTTCCAAAGCGCGAACTTGAATTTTTTTAAAGAGTACTACTTATTTTGGTGAAAGTAGTCTATATGTTATATGTATATTACCTGCATCCTTACCTCCTCCCTTTACAAGAATATAGTTTAGTACCTCTCCCCCCCCCCCGCCGTGGGGGTGGGATATGCCCCTTGTATTAACTGGCACAGAGCACGGAAAAGTACTACGCAAGTAGGCATAACACAATAATATTATAGTTCGAACAAAAACCATTTTTCCAGTGGCGCAAAAAATTATCTTGTAACTAAGGAGGGAGAGATTTATAACAGCACCCCCAAAAACATCACGTAAAGAGAGTGGTGGCCTCTTGATATGTGTATTGGGTCAAGTGGGGAACATTCTCTTAATTTTACCTTTGATTGCACACACACATACACACACACACACACACACACACTCTCACACACACACACACATACACACTTGCAAACACACACACACACTCACACACACACTTGCAAACACACACACACACGCCCACACGTACACACACACTTGCACACACACGCACGCGCACACACACACACACACACACACACACACTCACTCACACACACTTGCAAACACACACACACACACACGCCCACACATACACACACACACACTTATACACTCACACATTTCAAAACTGTTAGGACTTGTGTGATCCAAATTGCACTCTCAACCTTCCTATGTACCTTGGACCAATATGTCCTGATATTGATTTTTTGCTCTTTCTTAGATACTGGCTATGTATAGACCGGAAGACATGAGAATTATAAAAGGGGATTTTGCCTCTATTCTTTACCAAAAACAATGGCTTGTCTAACATTGGATCATTGAGCAGCTTCTCTGCAGGAACATGATTATTTTTAAGGCAATCGATATCAATTCTTCATATTTACTCTATGCCTTCCACAAGCTTGTTGAGGCTTTTTAAAAAAAATTCTTTTAATTGTTTCTCTTAAAAGCACCATTTTGTCCAATGGGTTTATTTGCAAGTGGGGAGGCAAACTTTTGTTGGATTCTTTGCGTCGGTGGCCTAGTGGTTAGGCTCGGACTCGTAATCTTGAGGTTGCGGGTTCGGGAGTTCGAGCCGCGGGCCCGATGTTGTGTCCTTGGGAAATGCACTTTACACAAATTTTCCTCATTTCACCTAGGTGGGAATGGGTACCCGGCCATAGCTAGACAGCGAAAGATCTTGCCAGTATGTTAGTGTTTTAGCGCCTATAAATGGCTGCTTGCACTATATGCTTCCCAGGAAGTTGAGGTTGTTTCAGAATGTTCTCAGGTTTGCGTGGGTAATAGTATAGATTGTGAAGTGCATAGAGCTTGCTGTTGAGCGGGGATTTGCGCAATACAAAAAATATCTATTATCATTATTATTATTATTATTATTATTATTATTATTATTATTATTATTATTATTATTATTATTATTATTATTATATTATTATTATTATTATTATTATTATTATTATTATTATATTTTTATTCAAATTAAAATGATAACTCGCCACTCATTTCATTGTTATTTTGGTCTGCCTCTGCTTCTTTTGCTTTCATTTTTTCCTATCTAATAAAAGCACGTCCGCCAATGTGGGACGTTGACCAATGCCTGTGTAGAGGAGAACTTTTCCTTTTTTCTTTTCATAAAATAAATAATTTTTGATTTTCATTTTTGTTTCAGGAGGCTACACATATTCGTGGGACGGGGGAGAAAAGTTAAGCAATGCCGTCTGGTTCCACTCAGACTCTGTCTGGCGCGAACCCAACAGATCCGGCTGTCCATCAACATATGTCTGTTGTTTCAAGATGACCAAGAACTGGAAGATGACTACGAACAAGGTGACGTCAGTATTTTACGCGGATCGCCATCTGTTGATGGACACCTCTTGCTCGGACGATTCCTTGTTTATTTGTACCTCTGGTAATTTTGTGTGTGTGTGTGTGTGTGTTTGTTTGTTAATCCTGTGCAGTCTGTGAACTTTGTATTGTTTTGAAGTTCTGGGTTGGTTTCGAAGCCTGTTCGCACCTGTAGATATTGCGGAGAGTCTCCACGCGTTTAAACACAGTCGGTTGTTGGCGTCGCAAAAACTAAACCCACAAAAACTGAAGCAAAATATAAAGCCCACAGACTAAACACACACACACACACACACACACACACACACACACACACACACACACACACACACACACACACACACATACATATTACGTACTGGCACACTTACACAAACAAACAAACAAACACACACACATACATATTACGTACTGGCACAATTACACAAACAAACAAACAAACACACACACACACACATACATACGGACACACAAATACATCTGTCCCTTTCTATGCCGGATAAAACAAACATGAAACTACGCTCTACTTTTGTTGGAGAGTTTTCAATTACAGCAGCTTTCCAGTACTTATGGATTATCAACTGTTCCAAAGATACACTCTAAACCTCCACCCCAAAACCACCCACAAATACATCACAATGTTAACCCTATGACGTAGAACGCAGAATACATGAGTTCGATTCCTCCTAACGAATATTATTTTCTTCGTTCATTGTAATCGAGCACCCGTGTCTGCCAGGTCAAACAAGTTGTCTCTCTCTCCCCGGATTCGCCAAAACAAACAGGTTCAAAGTAGCTCGCCTCCTGAAGCCATTTTATCTGAATAATAGCAAAGATCGTTCATAATAAGATCGTTCACTCGGCTAAAAAAGTGTCCGCGGAAGTCCGCGCATTGGTTTAGATGGCGCTGCAGTCTCTGTTTTGAATCTCTTTTTCGTTTCCCCAGAAGAAGAAAAGGAACAACACAACTTGTTAGCTTCGCTTTTATTGACGTTCAGACAAGTACGGTAACTCTGCTCGCAAAGTCCACGCTCTTTCGAAGAGGGCGCCACCGGGTTTTGAGGACACTTCTTTACTTGGCTCAAAGAGAGGTAGAAGTGAACTATCTTGTTATGTACGATCTTTGATAATAGTCTCGAAGAGGGTGTAATTAAGCGTGAATACTATTTATTCTCCCAATAATTCCCCAGCCACAAACGAGTGCACGGACGGTTCTGCAGGGTGCGAGCACACTTGTATTGACACAGTGCCTTCCTTCGAGTGCTCCTGCAACTCCGGGTATCTGCTGGCCAGGAACGGACGCTCATGTCCTGGTACGAGTACAATTCAAGTTTTTTTCTTCTTGTTCTTGTTCTTGTTCTTGTTCTTGTTCTTGTTCTTGTTCTTGTTCTTGTTCTT